GCTGCTTTTACTTTGTTTTATTATATTTCTTTGTGGTTTAATATCTGAGTGCAAGTGTTGTTGTAAAACAGCGCTGCTGCCTACTAGTAAGAATAACATTTCACAGCTCCAGGCCACAGACGATCATTCATGCTGTTGTCACCGCAGGGAAAATCGCTGCATCTGGCAGTCTGTGCCTTGCAGATATATATCTGCATAATCATGCAACTCATTTTGCAGGTCACAGCTTGCGCAAGTCATACAAGTCTTGCTGTATCCACATACAGAGCATAAGTAAGCAGCAGGCAAGGCAAGGCAGCAGTATAGAGTGACAGAAATCAAAGCACAAGTGTATATCTGGTAGAGATGAAAAAAACACACCTTCCAGCTTACTAGAATTTGTCCAAATAGATGATCATATAGTATTCCCTTATGTTCACAAAAACATCTCCATATTTTCCTGGCATAATCGCTTAAATTTGTGTATGTAGAATCTATAAGTGATGAGAATGTGATTAACCCCATTCTGTTGCAACAGTCCTACAACATAACTTAAGGATAAATGCCTGCATTGGTGGGCTTACCACTACCTGTTTGGCAAAGCACATTGCCAGTTCTAACAATGGAAAAAGAATGGTGGAATGGATCCATCAAGCCTATGCAAACAGAATCCATGGATAGTCATCAACAATATAGATTGTCACCTAATGCATTTTCATCCCTAAGACTGGACGACAGGTAAACATGCCCCACAACTTTGTCACTCCACTACATTACATACATTGCTCAACGCCCATTAATGAAGTCCTGCACCAGGTATGAAACTCATTCGGTGATGTGAGTGTGTGTGATAGCCTGTAGCGTTCATGGTGGAGTTTTTCACTATCTACAGATTCTGTTTGCCAGTCCCAAGGGTAAACACCACACTATATGTATGAAGTAAATGCCCAGATGCTCACCCACAAAGAAATCCATACAAATCTAAAACTGGTATAGAGGAGCTCACAGGTCTTGCGGCAGAGATCAATAAAAGCAACAGCATTTTGTCAATGTTTCAAGCTCAGTCCATCTTTCTCAAGGCACAGATAGATTCAGTGTAACAGGTTTCATTGATCCATTCCACCATTCTTTTTTCCATCATCTGAAAACATTTAGGTAGGTGCTTTGCCAAATAGGTAGCAGTAATATCTGCCACTGCAGGCATTTATATTACAATATGTACGACTGTGGCAACAGAGTGTGAATGATCACATACTCAAAATCTTCATATTCCATATACACGAGTTAAGTGGAACTTTATCCATAACAACTTGATAAAAAAAATAATGCCCTTACCATTCCTTATCTTGGAATATTGTTGACAAACAAAACCTCTGACCTAAGAACTCTCAATTATACTAAATTCATTCCAAAAATTCAAACCCACCTTAATCAAATGGCTAAGCATGAACTATCCTGATCTGGCAGACCGACCGCCTTTGAAATGTTCATATTGCCACAGATTTTATATCTATTTAGATCAATTCCAATCCCAATTAAATCTTCATATCTAACAAAACTACAATCTATGCTTAAAAAATACATCTGGGGAAATATGAGACCTAAATGCTCACATAATATATTTAATCAAACACAAAAAAATAGGAGGAATGGGATTTGTTGACATTCGGGATTATCACAAAGCATCATTATTAGACCAACTCAAACATTGGTTTATAGTAGAAGATGATACAAAATGGGGTGACGGTGAAAAAACTCTATCCTCTACGACAGATTTAAGCGCCATACTACTAGTGAGCTTGTGGCAAAGGATTCCCACTAGTAAAACCACACCAACTGTACGAGCCTCAATTGAAGCCTGGAAATCCTTAAGCTCCGTGTCTATAGATCCTCTCTGAATAAGTCCTCTTCATATACCTATAACAGCCTTAGAAGTCTTAATGCCTAGCATAGATATCTCGAATTGGAAACATAATGGCATACACACAATACAAGAGATTTGTGTTAAAAAAACATAATGTTGAATTCCTTATGAAAGAATTTTATCTCCTCCCTTCTGAAAAATCAACCAATACACACATCAGTCGTTGCCTATCGAAACATCCAGTAAAAACAATATATATACCTAAAGTATCATTAAAGTTCTATAGCTCCACTACTCCTAAATCAGGTGGTATAACCCTATTTTATAACCTTCTACAATGTAAATCAGAATTTAATAAGACTACTCAGTTAATCAAGTGGGAAAAAGACTTAGAGACTGAAATCTCTAATGAGCAGTGGGAATGTGCATTCAGGAGTGTGTTTTCAGCTACTAGATGGATTAACCCTTGGGAGCTAACGCACAAAATTTTCACAAGACGTTATCTAACTCTTTACCAAATGGCCAAATTCTCAGAACAACATAGTCCTCAATCCTGGAGAAACTGCGGTCAGATTGGTACTCTATTACATAAATTATGGACATGTAAAAATATTAGAAGCTATTGGTATAAAGTTTTCCACATGATATTGCTTTTGCTGTATCGTATCTGTTTTGTTTGGTTTTTTTTTGTGTTTTTTTTTTCCCTCATCCCCTACATCTCTTCCAACATTCTGCTACATCTTTGTTTCAGTACTGCTTAGACCTGAAGAAGGGGACATTCCCTGAAAGCTTGTCCTCCAAAATTGTATGTTAGTGCAAATAAAAAAAAAGTATCACAGACAGTACTCAATTGTTCCTGCCACATGATATTGGAGATTACTGGGAAATTAAAACAACCAAATCCTACCCTAGCCATTCTGAATATATATATAGATACATATCCAATCCATTATCGACTTTTAGTGACACACATTCTTCTAGCATCAAGACTTACCATTACTAGACACTGGAAAAAAGACTTAGCCCCTTCTCTAAAAGAACTCATTGAGCTAGTGCAGACCCACTTCATCTTTGAGAAATCTTTAGCTTACCTAAACAATAGAATTACCAAATGTGAGAAAGCTTGGAACCCCTGGTCTGACTGGTTCAGAACTGTAACCTAAGATTTTATTATGTTTAACCTTTTCTTGGATACTCTAAAATGATTATTTTGTGGAACTAGTAGGATTGTTAGGAATTATTCAATATTTCCTTTTTTCTCTTTGTTAAACTTTACCGCACCTATACTGTGTTATAGTGTAGCTTTTCACTGTCCTATTTTTGTTGTAACTATATTTGTAACACAAAAAAAAAACGTATTATGGGAAAAAAAATGTCCTTTTAGCAAGGAACTTACATTCCAAAATATTTATTATGCTACCAAAATTAGTGTGTGCCTCTGGCATTGCTGTTACTTCTTGCTGGAAGTTGCCATTTTGCTGAAGCCCAGAGCCCCTGAACAACAGTAAATCATAAAGTGGAAGTGGATTTCATCGAGTTAACGGTTTAAAAAAAACAGTAACATTCCTGGAATGCTGGGATTGCTAACTGTTGCATTGCTTGTGTCTTCAACCAAACTGTCAAACCATCAAATGGCTGGTGGTGTCATAACTGATCACAAGCGCAGCACCATGGTAGCTGCAGATCAAGTAGAAGTAGCTTCCATGGCTGTAAAGGATAGGAGGGTTTAATTCTGCTTTAAGACTGGCAGCAGATTGGCCTCTACAAATTCAGTAGTACCTAAAAAAATATAGAGCAACTGAGCAAGTGCAGAGCAGGGTGAGACAGACAGGATTTTAAACAGCATAGGCACTTATTTTTAGGGCCAGTTCATACTGCATGTGTTTCGGTTGCTTTTTTTTCTGCATCCAAAATGCACAGAAAGTAGGGTATATGATTAGCAATGTCATAGTTCACATCAGTGCCTCAGTTTCAGAAAAAAAAAGGTAGAACAGGCTGCATTTTTCCTGCACAGAACTGAGCTTCTCACGCATGCGCAAGTGGGCACCCGGCTGTGAAGCCACAAGCTGTCATAGTCGGGTGCCCACACTGAAGATGCTGGTGGCAGAGATGACAGCCGGTGAAACCTGCTGTGGTGAGGACACCTCTGGATCAAGGGACGGGTAAGAGTCTGTTTTTTTTTAAAAGTCAGCAGCTACAGTTTTTGTAGCTGCTGACTTTTACTAGCTTAAATTTTGACTGGAGCTCTGCTTTAAATTGTTACTAAACCCACAACAGTAAAATCAGTCTGTATATGCAGCAAAGCATGCTGGTTATACTCACTGAGGAACCTAAGGGGTTAATCTTCTGCATTGTGTAAAAACACTGTTTGATCCTGACTTCACTGATCCTCCCCTTCTTCCAGTGTCCCCTCTTATCTTGTGGAGTCACTCTGCACATGCTCAGTTTAGTATGTATTGCTGAAGAGGTTTTTTTTTTTTTCTTGGGAGAGTGCATGTGATCAGCATAGGGCCAATCAGCACTGTCCAGACAGAGGTCAGGGGGTCCTGCATCTTCCTACAGTGCAACCAGTGCTTCGCCGGACACTGATAAAAGTCACAAGACTGCTCTAACTGTGGATGAGAAAAGGTATTTAGCAGTTTATATTTACTAAAATAATTGCACTTCCATGTTCTGTGTACTGTAGGTGACCAGATATAGTGAATGCAGGGTCCTGGGTTTAGTAACATTTTAAGCTTTGTTTCTGGATAAAGCAAGGATTATAAATGTGACCTACAATATTGGAGTTTAAGTGCAATTATAGCATGATTTAGGAGCTGTGCTGAATGTCACTTGCTTTACCATCTGCAACCTCATAACTACTATCAAAGACTGTGCCTTGCACATTACAATAACCATAAATATAATGAAACATGGTGGAATGTACATATGGATAAAATACTACTCGACCACTATATTAACAATGGTAAGCCCATGTAAACAAACATCTTTGTTAACTTTGGCATCTGAGTGTGGGACAGAGCAACATATCCAATAAATACAGTAAGAACTAGATAAAAGAATACAGGAGTACACACTGGTGCTAAGTCCAAAATTCTAGAATTTTCATTGTTTGGCATTTTTATGACCTAGCAAATGTTTTTGAACTTTTTTTCAGTAATTCACCATTTTTCAACCAAGGAGCGCCGCGTACGAGCTATTAAAGAGATGGCTCGAATTCTGAGAGTTGGTGGACGAATGATGATCTATGTATGGGCAATGGAACAGAAAAGAAGGAAATTTGAGAAGCAAGACTTGCTTATACCATGGAATAGGGAGCCACAAAAGGTTTCAGAGAAAAGAAAGGACCTGACTGAACCAGATTTCAAGAACCTGCCACTGATCAATCCTTTGAGTAGGGTTCACAGCAATATGCTTTCAAAGATTAGGACTAAACATTCTTCATTTGTTAATAGGATACCTTTAACACTTAAAAATGGCCTCCATTCATCAAGATGTTTAACACGGTCACTAGAATCAGGGCTGGATATAAGTAGTATGTATGTAAGCAGTGATCAGAAGCATGAAAGCATTCTACGTAGACTGTATGACTACTGCACTGAATTAGGAAAATCCACAAATGCGTATCTACCCAGACTGTCCAAACCTGCTCATTTTGTAAAACAAATTGGTGACCTTCTACCAAAATACATACAAGACCTGGAAAAAAATACTAACAAAGTCACAGAGTTATTTAACTTTCCACTTGCTAACAAAAGTTATTGCACATCATCTAATGTAGAACTTGGTGGAGAAATAATCAAAGACCTTGAAAATGTTCCATTACCAGATCTGAAATCTAGTTGCAGTGGACCAATTGATCTCAAGCGATGTTCTAACTCTGACATTAAATGTAGGAAAGATCAGCAGATCCCGCCAATTGACAATACAGACTGTCTTCGATATTATCACATATTTAAACAGAATGAACTTGCTGATCTCATAGAACAATGTATTCCTGAACTCCTTGTTGTGAGCACATTTTATGACCATTCAAACTGGTGCGTCATTGTTGAAAAGAACCCACTATGGAAAATGTTAAGTCCCCATAACTGGTAAAATGTTTAATCTGTTCTATACAGCAAATTGTTATTGCATGCAGTTGTGGGTCAGTTATCATGCTTATCAAAAAATACTTCCTATTTAAGTATTTTTTATTTGTATTTTAGTAGGTTTTTTTTCCTTAAACATAATTTTGTATTAGCAGAATGTAACAGCTGTAAAAAAAACCCTCAAATGTTTATCATATTTTAAATATATTTTATATGGTAAATTGTTGTATAAATGTTATTCTTCCTTTTAGGTTTTGCAATAGGCAAGACATAAAAGTAAAAAAGTGAACCTGTCTGGAGGAAAAGGTGCAGTCAACGTGTCATTAAACCCATGTTATTAAAAAACCGTCAGTACAGCTGTATTACATGCTGATTGACCATACTCACTCAGCCACTATGGGATTTATTTTCTGTATTCTGCATAAAACCTGGTTGATCCTGTTGTTCACTGTCCTTCTCTCCTTGTCTGTGTTCCCACTGCAGTCTTAGATTGTGTAGACCAGCCAGATTCCACATCTACTGAGCATGCTCCAGTTTCATTTCCCTTCTAAGCTGGTCATTTACACCTTTGTTTTATCTATGCAGCCCACATGACTATAGAGTCCCACTTGTGGGCATATGCACTCTGAATAAATGACAGTCCCCTCTCTCCTCCATGCCTACTAAACTGCTCTCCACCGTGGGCGCAGGATACTACACGTTGACTAATGGAGGCTTAAGCTACTTGTAATTCTAAGCATATACAAATAGTCGCAGGCTGGAGGGGCGTGAAATAGGCTGTGTCAGGCAAAACCTCCCCATAGAAAGCCCAAACCAAAATACACAAAATCTGAGATAAAATACATATTTGTATGATGATTTAAAACATTTTGTGGATAGTAATTATGTATTTTCCTCTGTATTTCTAAGGCTGTTATTTTATTTTTATTTAACATGTAACTGGCAGCAGAGGGCTAAAAGCTCCTCCCACTGATATTTTCCTGCAGATGGGTCGGGAAAGAGCTGTATATCAATTATGAAAAAAGATATTTAGATTTTTTTTTCAGTTAAATCATCCATATACATAAAGAGAAGGGATAATGTAAAAAAAAAAACAGCGTGTGCTTAGTATCACTTTAATGCGGAGCTCCACCCAAAAGGGGAAGCTCCGCTTGTATGCCTCCTCCCCCCCCTCCACTGCCATATTTGGCACCTTTGGGGGGTGGGAGTGCAGCCCCCCTCCTACCCCCCACAGGTCCCAGGAGATTGCGAGACCAATTTCTAGGTATGGAAAAATGTCACCAGCACACCAAGGATCATCAATATGGGTCCAAAGATTTTAATGAACGATCACATACAGTCAGGTCCATAAATATTGGGAGATCGACACAATTCTAACATTTTTGGCTCTATACACCACCACAATGGATTTGAAATGAAACAAACAAGCTGTGCTTTAACTGCAGACTGTCAGCTTTAATTTGAGGGTATTTACATCCAAATCAGGTGAACGGTGTAGGAATTACAACAGTTTGCATATGTGCCTCCCACTTGTTAAGGGACCAAAAGTAATGGGACAGAATAACAATCATAAATCAAACTTTCACTTTTTAATACTTGGTTGCAAATCCTTTGCAGTCAATTACAGCCTGAAGTCTGGTACGCATAGACATCACCAGACGCTGGGTTTCATCAATGGTGATGCTCTGCCAGGCCTCTACTGCAACTATCTTCAGTTCCTGCTTGTTCTTGGGGCATTTTCCCTTCAGTTTTGTCTTCAGCAAGTGAAATGCATGCTCAATCAGATTCAGGTCAGGTGATTGACTTGGCCATTGCATAACATTCCACTTCTTTCCCCTAAAAAACTCTTTGGTTGCTTTTGCAGTATGCTTTGGGTCATTGTCCATCTGCACTGTGAAGCGGCGTCCAATGAGTTCTGAAGCATTTGGCTGAATATGAGCAGACAATATTGCCCGAAACACTTCAGAATTCATCCTGCTGCTTTTGTCAGCAGTCACATCATCAATAAATACAAGAGAACCTGTCAGGGACTGCGGGTCTCGCCGAGGCGCACAGGTCTGCGCATGCGCAGATTGCCTAGGCACACCAATGTGCAGGCACTAGGACCTGAGTGTCCGCGGCGGCAATTGCGGCCGTGCATGCGCATTCGCGCACCTGGCACCAATGACGGTGCAGGGCGCACTATTTAAACTGGCTAGGCGGTGATCACGTTGCCGCAAGGTCTAGTTCCTGTGTTTTCTGAAGTGCCTACCTGCCTCCACCGTTACCGACCCGGCTAGTCTGACCACGCTCACTCCTGACTGTCATCCATCCATCCCGCTCGGGACCTGGACCTGTCAGCCTCTTCACATCAGGCTCACCCCTGGCACATACCCTCAGCGAGACTCCTCTACCACATTTGGGTGCACTTAGGGGCCGTGACCTGGTTTCAGTCCTGCACCAAGTCCATCCCCACCATCAGGGGATTTGGTGAAAAGGCAGACTGGGACTTAGACGCCGCGTCCTGGGGAATCCCGTTCTGTGGATCACTAGAGATCCGCCGGGCGGTGTCTGACAGTACCTTGTGGCCATGACTGAGAGGAACTTCCCTTCTGGATGACATATGTCGACATCTGGCGACCCTTACAGAAGGGGTTAGGGCCCTACAGGAGGGTTATACAGAATTGGGTGACCGCATACAGACCTTAGCCACACCTACCAGGCAGTCTGGGGAACCCTCTGGGGAGACACTGGTCTCGATACCCGCACCAGAACCCCGTGTTCCCACACCGTAACGTTTTAACGGAAATCTAAGTAGATTCAGGACTTTTTGTAATTCCTGTCAGCTATACTTCGACCTCCAGCCTCGAACATTTTCTTCAGAATCCGTGAGGGTCGGATTTATCATTTCCTTATTACAGGATGAAACCCAAAACTGGGCCCACCGACTACTGGAGACCCGAGACCCTCAGAGATGGTAACGACATTTTTTAAAGCAATGGCGCTCTTGTACAATGACCCACAGCAGGCAGTGACGGCCAAGATGGCCCTACATACACCGAGGCAAGGCCACCGAGCAGTGGAGGACTATGCAGTCGAATTCAGGCGTTGGGGTAGTGACACTCAATGGAATGAGGCGGCCCTGCATTACCGCATGGGATTAGCTGAAACATTGAAGGATGAGCTGGCCCGAGTAGACATACCTGATACTCAGGAGGGCCTGATAACCTTATCTATTCAGATTGACCGCTGGTTGCGGGAACGCAGGCAGGAAAGGTCCAACCAAGGTCAGAGACCAACCTGGATACCTCCCCATGCTTCAGTCCAGCCTAAGTCTCTGTGGGTCAACCGGATTCAGGAGTCCACGGATACATCGGGACTCAGGTTATCGGGAAGGATGCGGCCTTCACTTACACTTGAGGAACATCAGAGGCGTCAGGTAAACCATCTTCGCCTCTATTGCGGGGAAGCAGGCCATGTGGTACGTACCTGTCCAGCCAAGATGGGTAAGTGTTCTGCTGTTTTCTCTATGGTCACTTCTAAAAGTGGGAGCAACACCAGTTATCTAGCAGTACCTATCTCACTTCAGCTGCCTGGGAAAACTGTGGTAACCACGGCAATCGTGGACTCGGGAGCATACAGCTGCTTTATAGATTTGGACTTTGCAGCTCAGCAGCAGATCCCCTTACAGACGAAGGAGATGGGGTTGAATATTTTCTTAGCTGACGGGTCCCGTATCACGTCAGGGGTGGTGGACCGTGAAACCCCACCTATCCGCACTACAGTGGCAACCCATCATCAGGAATTCCTCCACCTGGATGCCATTGTATCCCCTCTATTCCCAGTCATCCTGGGGCTCCCTTGGCTACGAGCCCATGATCCACAGGTTGATTGGAAGACGGGAGCAATTCACTTCCAGTCACCCTATTGCCAGCAGCATTTCTCCCTGGGACGCCCCCAGCTCCGCACGCCTTGTTATGTTTGGATGCAGATGCAGGACTGGCTCAAGTTATTCCTTCGGCCTACCATAGCTACTTGGACGTGTTTAGCAAGCGGGGGGGCAGATGTTCTGCCCCCGCACCGAGGTTTGGAAATACCATTTGGGCAGATATTTCCTTTGTCTGAGCGGGAGTTAGGGGTACTAAAGGAGTACATAGACGAGAACCTCCACATCACCAGCCGGGCTGGCATTTTCTTTGTGGAGAAGAAAGACAAATCCCTACGACCCTGCGTAGATTACCGTGATTTAAATAAAGTAACTGTCAAGAATTGTTACCCACTGCCTCTGGTCTCTGAACTTTTTCAAAGGTTGAAGTCAGCTTCTGTCTTCACTAAGCTGGATTTGAGGGGTGCATATAACCTAGTCCGTATCAGAGAGGGTAATGAATGGAAGACAGCATTCCGTACAAGATTCGGACATTTTGAATACTTGGTAATGCCCTTCGGCCTATGCAATGCACCTGCCACCTTCCAGCACTTCATAAACAACGTGTTCAGGGACTATTTGGACATCTTTGTTGTCGTCTACCTGGACGATATCCTGATCTTTTCCCCGTCATTAGAGGTCACATGAGGTGTGTGTTGGAACGGCTCCGCATCTCTTTTTTGGGACTGACCATCTCCACCACGGGAATAGCCATGGATCCCCAGAAAGTCTCAGCTATCTTAGATTGGCCAGTGCCCACTGATAAAAAGGCAGTCCAACGCTTCATTGGCTTTGCAAACTTTTATAGGAAGTTTATCAAAACCTTTTCAGGCCTAGTGTCCCCTATCACCCAGTTGATCAGACGGAGGGTCTGCTTCCAATGGACACCCGAAGCGCAGGAAGCATTTGCAGCTTTAAAGAAGTTGTTCACTGAAGCCCCTATTCTGAGCCATCCTGACCCGTCCTTACCCTACATCTTGGAGGTAGATGCGTCGGAGAACGCAGTGGGGGCGATTCTGTCTCAAAGGAAGGGCACTAAGGAGCTCATGCACCCGGTGGCCTTCTTCTCTAGGAAACTGACTACTGCAGAAAGGAATTACGGT